TATATATATATATATATATATATAAGACATTTATCAGAAAGTAGTGTGAGAAGAAAGACGTGGATGAGGGATCGAGACGAAGAGAAGGACGAAGAGAAGGAAGAGAAAGAGCAGGAGGAGGAGGAGGAGGAGGAGGAGGAGGAGGAGGGGTATGTACTTGTCCGGATACATCTCAATCGGGACCCCTCGTCATCGTCGCTCGAATGCCGATCCCCACGGGCCGGGAATAGTCGTTCTTAATTCGATCATCGATCGTCCGGCAACGTGAATTCCACGCGCTCGCACATGGCCGCACCAATACCGATATAACGGAAGACAACTCGTAAATAATAATAATAAAAAAATAATGATAAAAATAATAATAATACAAACAATAAAAATAATATTAATAAACAATAATAATAATGATAAAATAATAACGCGAAGCACTCTTCTATCTCCTCCCAAAACGCATATAGATACATACTACTTATTATACATACAAAAATACACATATACATACATCCTACGTATTCACCACCCTCAAGTTCGACTTCGATTGAAGATAATACATCGATAAAGATCGATAGAGATCGATAGAGGTTCGATCTATAAAGTCAGGACCCAATCGTTGTCCGGTGAAGCGAATCAAGGTAGACAAAGAGAGAAAGGGATACGAGTTAGTGTTCTCTCTCTCTCTCTCTCTCTCTTTCTCTATTTCTTTTTCTTTGCGAAGAACGGAGAACGGCAAAACGGTGGTAGTGCTGGTGGGGAGGGTGGGGGATAGGGAGGAACGAAGCGGCCTTCTCGATCGTCGTTGGCAGTCAGGGGCCTTTAATTAAGGGAACATATTGCCACTAATATCCGACGGACAGTGTCAATCTGTCAGGCTACCAAAAAGGCACCGATCTTGATAACGGGTACCTAGGAGACCGGCACGGCCTATCGGACACGCTGTCTTCGATTTAGTTGTTCCACCAGATCACCCGGAATTAATACGTTCGACGGCTAACTGAACAAGCAAGCAAGCAAGCAAGCAAGAAAGCAAGCAAGAATAAGAGTAAGAGTAAGAGTAAGAGTAAGAGAGAGAGAGATAGTGAGAGAAAAGGACAACTCTTTGAGACAGCCGTACCATGAAGAATATCTGTCCAGCTTATCGATGTCTTCTCTTTCTTATTCTCTCTCTCTCTCTCTTTTTTCTGATAGAGACAAGTTGCGTATTTATCTTTCTTCTTTCAAATCTTACCTTCGTTCAAACAAATAACGCTTACTTTATATTCGATATCTCGTTTGCCCGTCATAACATTATTACGTTTACTTATGCTAATTATACTGATCGAATAATTACAAACCGTATATACATATAAATACATTACCATTTATTCTCTACGTTATAATTAATTAACAAACGAAAGTAATAAAAAAATTTCGAGATACATTATATCATTCTCATAAAATAAATCTCACATAAGATGATGATGATGATGATGATAATGATAATAATAATAAGCTTAATAATAAAATAGGTAAAAGGGTGGAGGGAAAATAAAAAAAAAAAGAAAAAAGGTTTACATCGAAGGGAAAAAGAGCGTGTCGAAATTTAAACGGACATAATCGCGCGAGTGACGACGAGAGGGCGCAAGGTCGTGGGTCTCGCGATAGAAAGGGTTCCACGGTGGGCCTTCTTCCTCGAGCGACCAACCAACCGACCGACCCTTTAGACGGGCCCAACTGCTTTCAGGAGCGAAAAAGGTGAACGCGCACGACAATGCACACACACTGCCGACAGATTACAGGGCGCTTCTTCGTTTCTTCGACATTGGCCCGAACCGGATGTCGATTACACACTCCTCCCCCCCTCCTCCTTCTCACCCCACCCCCTCAACCCTTTCCTCTTCTTCTTCTTCTTCTCCAAGCCGATTCGTTACGATTAAATGCCGCTTCTAGTATATATATATATACATACATACACACACAAACACACACACCTTTTCTCCAAAAAGCACCTATCTTTTAACCAACAGTTTTTGATCGACGAACGTGCTGTTATTGCTTACAAATTAATCTCCTAATCGTACCAATCACAAATATTAATTCTATTATAATAATTTAATATCATAAGAATGATAATAACGGTAATGGATAATTATATTCTGATCGACTTACCGCGTAAAAGAATTTTCTTTAATGATCGTCTTATGGTAGTGCAATTCCATCTGCGATTTCTAAATTGATGTTGACATTCTCTGGTACCAACTTGAACGCCTTTGGCTATTTCCTTTAACAATGAAGGCTCCTTACGGCAAATGTCGGCTAGTTTTCCTTTCAATCTTCTCGTTTTCTTGCAAACCAACATCGGATCCATCACCATCTGACTTCCCACCGTCCTGTAATCAAAAAAAATTTTGAATATTATTTTGAATTAATTATTACGTTATTACTACGCTTATCACGCATTAACGAGAAATCACGCACTCGTCGGAGATGTTACCACGTGTCGTTCTAACGTTCGAATGATTCACACGTTTTGTTTATATACGATACTTCGGTTACTCGACATACCAAGTTTATTACTTCGAACGTAAACAGAATACAGACACGAACAGTCAGAAGAAAATACGTAAGCGACGTATTACGTTACCCGACACTCCGTCGTTCTTTTTGATTTATTTACTTTTTAGTTTAATATTGTCTCGCGCAAACACATCACACGTGTTCATCTGTATGTGTATAATCGAACGTGTAGTATAAACGATTATAATCGAAAAAGGATTATTCAATATCGAGTACGCGTAATTTTAATACGGAAGTTAATTTAAAACCGTACAACACTCACAATGTGTATACATTACTCTTTCAAGGAATAAATTATTTTTCTTCTTTTTTTTTTTTATACGTTCTATACGTACGGGAAAAACATTTAAGTTAAACAACGCGAGTGAAAAACGTCGTGCGAAATTCGTTGAAAAATCAACGACGATTACATTGACAAATCGCGATTGAAATTATAAATGCATTTCTGAGGTGGGAGGGAGGGAGGAAGGGATGGTAAGGAAGATGAAGAAGGGAAAATACGAGAGAGAGGTGGACGATTTATATTTGCTAGAAGGTGCTACGCGAACACGGAGTTTGAGCTATTTGTTCGGTTTGTCGGAAAGAGAGGGAGAGAGAGAGAGAGAGAAAGAGAGAAAGAGAAAGAGAGAGGAAAGATGCAGAGAGTCGGAATAATTTACGGAAGCCACAAATCCCTCGACGTGACATTCGCTAAGTTGCCGGTTATTTAGCCAGGCCGCATCCCATCTTTCGTCCCCTTTCCCGATGAAGAAAAAAATAGAATTTCGCGCACGAGATTAAGCTTAGAAATCCCCTCATCCTCCATCTATCTCTATTTCTCTTTCTCTCTCTCTCCCTCTTTGAAAATTCCATTAATTTGTCAAAGATCGTGGAAGAATCGTTCACCGATATTTCCATTAAAACGGAATAATATTAAACGCGTTGATCTCGTAAATTTATATTGGCGAATATAATCAACAAAAAGTGAAGAAAACAATCCTGAATCAATCAAGAATATTCTAACAGGTATTCAAATTTTTCTTAAACAAATATTCTCTATTAATTTATCTGACGATGAGAAAGAATTAGATACGTTGTTCGCGAGAAATATAAACGTGCGTACGATATATCGAATCAATCCCTCTTCATCGTCGATAAAGAAGAGAAAAGCGTGTGTCTGTATATACAAAAAAAAAAAAAAGTTAGAAAAGTAATTAATTTGAAAAAAAAGTGGTGCGATCGTATAAAACGCAGCTTTCTCGTTTCCCTTCGCGAAAGACTCGAACGACTTCGCGTTGACTTGGAAAACGGGCAGGGGGACAGACAGGGGGGGGGTTGAGGGAGAAGGAAGAGGAGGGTAAGAAATAAAAAGTTAAGCAAGAAAAGAAGAGGAAGATTCTTCCGAGACAACAACTACAACGACGACAACGACGACACGATCGTAGTTGAAGGATCCGCGCGTATAATTTCGATCTTCTCGGAGAGAAAACGCGAAAGTCTCTCTCTCTCTCTCTCTCTCTCTCTCTCTCTCTTTTCCTCTCGTGAGCGAGTAAACGAGCATTCCTATCGCTCGTAATTTCTTTTCCGTCTCGGGAGAATTCTTTCTCGATCTCTCGCGATCTCTTCGCAATCCCTTCGGTGTTTCCTCTTTCCTCCCCCTACCCCATCTTCCCCCCTGTTCCCTCCTTTCTCATCCTCCTCGACACCGTTAACGATCCATCCGACGAGTAAGTAACCAACCAACCAACCAACCAACCAACCAACCAACCAACCAACCAAACAAACAAACCAACCAACGTAAAGAAAGAATCGCTAGAGAGAAAAGACAGTTAAGAAAAAGATACGAAATGCTGGTGGATGATTACCAGGGTGGACGGATGGATGGATGGATGGACGGATACGACACTCGAATCGTAACGAACGGGATGACGCCATTAAGGTAATTAAAGTCCGCGTGAGCTATTACGACGACGTAACAACGACTTCGAATCCGTGCACTAGCAGGAAAATACGACATTTTGAAGAAGAAGAGAAAGAAGTAGTAGTAGTAGAGGAAGAAAGAAAGAAAAAAAAAAGACATGAAAGTAATGAGATATTTGTAAAGTGAAACTTGGATGAAACTGAGGAACTCGAAAAAGATTGGAAAGAGAGGAGACGAAAAATAAAGAAGAAGAAGAAGAAATAACGCTGGTCTTTGGAAAAGAAAAGATAGACAGAGAGAGAGAGAGAGAGAGAGAGAGAGAGAGAGAGAGAGAAGAGACGTTCTCGAAGTCGACCTTCGTTACGAAACGTTAATTAAGATCATTAGTTCTGCGTCGGTAGGATGCCGGGTCGCGTACACGACGGACTCTCGGGAATGCAACGACCTTAATGGCAATAATTCCGTTAAGGACGGTTGCTCCGTTCTCCTCGTGTACGCGAGCCTTGCACCACGGCTTCTTCTCGAGGTCGCTCTCTTCGATATATCGAGCCCTACGAACGAACGAGTAAATAAGTAAGTAAGTAAGTAAGTAAGTAAGTAAGTAAGTAAGTAAAAGTAAGTGTACGTATATACAGAACGAGAAAAAAGAAAATGAAGAAGAAGAAGAAGAATCGAGAATCCGAGTCCGAGATCGGTCATTGCGTAAATGCAATGCGAGAAGAAGGGTGGTGGGGAGAAGGGTAAGGGGAGACATAGAGTGACATCGTCATTTGGGAAGAGAATTCCTATTGCGAGCAACGACCATAATCATCGTCACAAGAACGAACGAACGAACGAACGAATGTACGCACACGCACGCACGCACGTACGCGACTAGGAAAAGCCAAGTAAATTTTCCACTCTCGAGAGCTTTCGCGTTCGACTCATCGATATTTCCGGCGGTGATCTAGCAACAACTTTAACTCGGCAACTCGGTTTGTTACACGCATAGAGACACCACCACGCCAATTCACTCATAGAATAGTCGTAGTCCTAAGTGGACTATTTTGTGCGGGGCATCAATTTGCTTGGCCTAGGAATAGGAATATCCCCGTCCGGTAATCGTTGAAAACGACGGCTGACGTTGACGATGCTGGCAACGACGACGACGACGACGACGACGACGACGACGTAAAGAACGAAACAAGAAGAAAAAGAAGAAGAATTTCTGTACCATTTTCTTATGTCTTTCCGCAATCAGGTGAAAGATTTTCTACGATTTTAAAGACGACGATTTTGGATCGAATTAAACGGCAACGGTAAAACAGTTTTGACGGGTTTTAACTTAGTCGTGGCTAAGATCCCTTTTCACTTGTGGTATAATAAAATGACTTGCGTTATCGCAAACACGTAGCGTTTGACGCGCGCATCTTGGTTATGTCAGCGTATCTACACTCAAGTCTAACTATTAATAAACCCACGATGCGAGAGGAAAACTTTTTTAATGGTAGTTTGAAAAGTGTCTGGACGAAAGAGAAAGAGAGAGAGAGAGAGAGAGAGAGAAATGGTTTACTCTCTTCTACGCGTAAGAGAACTTGCGTGACTCTCTCTCTCTCTCTCTCTTTCTCTCTTTCTCTCTTTCTCGTTCACCCTGTGATATCGATTAACCCGTTTACGATTCGCTTTTACGATCTCTAGACTCTTAAAATCCTATCGTTTATCTTTTACCGATAAACGTTTTCCAAGTTTCTTGACTCGCGTCGTGAAAACATTTAGTCCCAACACTTCCTCGAAAATTCCCCATTTCATTTCTGGTAAGAAATAAAGCTGGGAAAATTTATTCAATCTTTAACATGGACAAACAGACATTACTAACGTATCTTTAAACCAGAAACACCAACCAGAAGGCTTCGTCGTCACTTCCGATAACTTGAAACGATTCTATGATTATAACGATTTAAAACGTGAATGACAATAAATTAAAATATTATTAATAAAAGCGTGTGTGTTACGATTAACGAAAGAAATTAAGATCAAGAAATTAAGATCAAGATAAAAGTGATATATAGTTAAGAGAATAAGAATAAAAAAAAGAAGAGTCGAAAAATAAAATTGGAGTTCTCATACTCTCTCGCCAATGGTCTAAGAGAGGAGGATAAGAGGCAAGAAAGGAACTCGGGGATGGATCTGTCGTCGTCGCGAACGAAAAGCGTGGAAGAGGCCGGTTAGGGCGGCCGACTTATTTATTGCCTCATTAGACGCACTCACTTTGCTCGAAGGCAGCTCCACGCTGTCTGCTCGGATAGACAGTGACGAGAGCAACGTAGCTGCTGGTTGCTGGTTGCTGCTGCTGGTTGCTGTTGGTGCTGGTGCTGTTGCTGGTGATGGTGCTGGTGCTACTCGCTCGCTAGCTCGGCGTGTGTGCTCTCGATGAACACGAGAGAAGAAGAAGAAGAAAAGGAGGAGGAGGAGGAGGAGGAGGAGGACAGTCAAAAGGGCCAAATGAAGAAAAAGAAAGAAGGATCCGTTGCAAGGGCCGCGAGAGACTGCTCTTCGATTCGGAGGATCTGCACTTTTCTCTTTCTTTCTTTCTTTCTTTCTTTCTTTCTGTCTCTGTCTCTTGTTGGCTTGGAAAGAGGGAAGAATAAGAGTCGTTTGGTCCAGCGAAATTCTTCGAATATCTCCCGCCGCAACGAACGAGACTCTCGAGGATAAGAAGAAACGACGACGGAAGTCGGGAACCTTGCGATCAAGGACGCTTCATCGGTGTATTCACCTCCCAACCACCCTTTCCTTTATTTTCCTTCATATTCCTTTAAACTTCTTCTTGCTATTCTATTCTTTTTTCTTCTTCTACGATTAATATAACTAACGTGTAACCGATTTTTCCAAACCAACCCCCATCGATTCTTAACACGTTCCGTGTAAAAATCA